GCTGCAATGCTTGGTAAGAAATGTACGCATTATCCTGCCCATGCAATTGTAACCCCTCTGTACAGTATGTTCACAAATAAAATAAAATAAAATTAAAAAATAAACAGTTAAGATATTATTTAGCATAATAATGAAACAACTTTCATCTCTAATTTGGGCAAGACTCTAACCAGAGGGTATTGTATTTTTCTCTCTTTGCAGAGAGTTAAATCGAGTCAGGAGACGCTAAGTAATTCACACAGCTAATAAGGACAGGATTCTCAAACGAAATTCCAAGAACACTGTAATTAGAGGATCTCTCCATACAGAGCTTTGGCTCCTCCTTTTAATTGGCACAGTCGAGTCAGAGCTTTGCTGTTCAAGAAGAAAAGAGAGGGAAGGAGAACATATATAAAAATCCTAATGACTGCCTCACTGTTCTTGCTTTGCAGCCTGTGAACTTATGAACCAAGGCATCTTGGCCCTAGTCAGCTCCATTGGCTGCACATCCGCGGGGTCCCTCCAGTCTCTAGCCGATGCCATGCACATCCCTCACCTCTTCATCCAGCGATCCACAGCGGGGACCCCCAGAAGTGGCTGTGGACTTACCCGCAGCAACAGGAATGACGATTACACCCTCTCTGTGCGTCCACCTGTGTATCTGAATGACGTTATCCTGAGAGTGGTCACGGAGTATGCCTGGCAGAAATTCATCATCTTCTATGACAGTGAATATGGTAAGTGTTTAGCCACCCTCTGAACCTCCTGCACCGAGGGCTGCCTGAGAAACAACTTCGCTGAATCCTCAAAATCTGTAAGAGGCTTACCCGTGATTTGTAGTGTCATTAAGTTCATCCTTTTGATGTCAACTACCTTTCCATTTAAATTTTAAAATCAAATAGCTGTTGAGCTCCATGGCATGTATTTGCCCTCCAAGCACTTGGGAACTAAACTAGGGTAGAGAGTTCAAAGCAAACCTGAGTTACTTAGCAAGACCCCATCTCAAAAATAAGCAAATGAACACCCATACCTAAGGCTTATTTTATATTTTTTTTCTAAGAGTCTGACTTCAGCATATATTGCTTTTTTTTTTCAAGTAATAGGAAGTTGTAGAAAAAATGCAATAACAGAATATATTCTTTCTCTAGGTGTGTATACCTTTTTAAAATTACTTTCATTGTTTTTATAAAGGTGATATACGGAGGGGTTCCCCTTTCATAAGTCAGGTAATGAGTACACTTCTTTTTGGAAAATATCACCCCATATCTTGCCCTACTGTTTTCCCTCCTGTTCCCATCCACTACATTTTCAATGGAGTGTTTAGTGAGTACCCCTGCTGCATTTGTTCACCCTTTGTCTCTCCCTTCTGGTGCCTCCTCTTACCTCCACCAACACAGATACATGAACAAACAAGGCAAAAAGAAAAGTCAGGGAAAGAAAAAAAATAACAGGTCTTATTTCCATTTCCCGGAGTCCATTTTGATAACTACCGTTTTGTATGATCAAAGGCACAGAGGCCTTGTGCCTTTGTGTTCCCCGGCCCAAGAATGTCCCCGACTGGTCTCACTGTGTATGAATGCCTAGAGTGCTGTATAATTTATCATGTCCCAGTATATTTTAGATCTAGCTTCCACATATGAGATATAAAAACCATTTCTCGAGACATCTTAAAACACTGAGAAAAAGTTTCCATTTTCTGTTTATTATTCTTGATTAAAAATATCTGACAATCTTGCGTATACCCTGGGTAGACTTCAGTACTTCCTCCATCCTCATAATTTAGAGTTGCTGAAATGATACTTTAGCAGCAGCACTGCATATTATTGTCTTCGATATAAAAGTTTACAAAAGGCCAGGCACTAGTGGCTCACGCCTGTAATCCTATATATTCAGAAGGTTGAGATCTGAGGATCGCTGTTCAAAGCCAGACTGGGCAGGAAAGTCCATGAGAGTCTTATCTCCAAGTAACCACCAAAAATCCCTAAGTGGAGCTGTAGCTCAAGGAGTACAGCACTAGCCTTGAGGGAGAAAAGCTCAGTGACAGTGCCCAGGCCCTGAGTTCAAGGCCCAGTACTAGGACATAGTGTACACACACACACACACACACACACACACACACACACACACACACACACACACATAATGATAATAACTAAAAGAAAGAAGAAAAGAACAATTATGTAGTTGAAACAATGTATTCTCCAAGGCAAAACACAAAACATGCTCCCTAAATTTACCACAATTTGAGAAGAAAACATTTTTTCTCAGCGTATTATCTTGCAATACAGCAATATAATGTTCAAAAATCATCTTTTCCCTTGTTTTCTAACTGACTTATCCCCACCATCTTCAAATATATTTTCTTGCTTATTTCTGTCAATAGGAAAGAGAAGGGGAAAAATAGGCTTGATCAAATGAGGGGAAAGAAACTCAGTAAAGAATTTAGATTTAGAGACATGCATACAACTTAGAGGGTATGTCTTCAGAAAGAGTCTCTAAGCATTATTCTCTCCTGGATCTTCTTTTTACATTTTTATCTAAAAAAATGTTTTCCTTAGCTAATAACTAAATAAGCATTACAAAATTGAATACTGTCTTGTCCTGATCTGCCCAACATTGTGAAGAATATTGGAGCAGAGATCTGTCACACAATGGGTCATAAGGCACTGTCAATAGAATGAAGAACCAACAGGCTGGCAGAAATCTGGACAGCAACAAACAAGAGTTCCTGTGGACTCCCAGAGAAGGAAAATAACCGGCAGTCACATTTAGCCCCCAAATATTCAAAAGGTTGCATGGGTTTTGGCAGCCAGAGATCTATTAAACTTGATGAGTAGGATTCAGCCAAATTCTGTGACACTCTCTAGAAACAGTTTTTTGTCTCCAGTTCCCAGGACGGAAACCCGTATTTCTATTACTTAATTCATGTTATTCAGGGGTCACAGCACAAAAACCAAGAGACTGAAATGAATAAAATAAACAGAAAACGGTATAAAAATTGGCTCATCAGCAAAATGAAGGATTGAAAGCAAGACGTGTTTGAAATTCTGGACGGAATTGTTTAGTCAGTGAACCCATGGTCTCAGGGATCAACAAGCTAAGAATGAATTTTTTCCATTCCTTCCTGTCAAACTGTCTGTGGCTTTTGCCATCTTCAATGGGGTTGTTATAGTCTCTGAGGGAAACATAAATTGGAATGATGAATTTTTAAACCCTAAATCATTAGGGCAAGGAAACAGTCAGGACTATTAACAGAATCCTATAAACTAAAGGGCAGAAAAGTGATTATTTTGATCTGTGTGGTTTTTGCAACATTAAAATGAGACTTTAACCCTTTGATTCTAAATAGGAGAATAGGATAGAAAAAAACTTGTCAGCTGGTTTCCAAATCCTGTAGGGATTACAATAAAAAAGTTCTTACAAAAAACATTTTTATTCTTGATGAGTTAGATACATTTTTGAAAATAGGCCTGAAATACATAGTTGTGGAATTATTCACAAACACTTGAAATTTTCCATGCTTCTGTTTTTCTTTGAGTGAGTACTATGACATAATCACAGTGTATGACTGAATGCCTTTAAAACGATCGTGCTAAAAACTGTTCTTTTTATATAAAATAATTGAAAAATATTTTTCTTTAGTTGGAGGACAAACTTACTTTTTACCTTATTTAATTTAATAACATGAAAACTTGCTTTGCTTCTGTCATTAATATTATTTCCAGTAATACCATTACTTAATGAAAGAAAATGTCCTTTTGATACTGACAATAAATCTTAGTAGTAAAAATCTAGGCTAGAGTCCAAGGTAAACATAAAACTGTCCAAGTACCTTGTACCTTGATGCAGTTTCTATGTATTTACATCTCCATTCATCCGTGTCTTCGTTTTTAACTTCAAACCTTGGAATTGCACTTGACTTTTATCTTGATTATCAGGAATTGCTTTCATTAATGAATGGATCAAACTTGGTCTCTGGATGAAATCAGGCAGCTTGCTGGGGCCAAATGTTTCAAAAGGACTATTTTGCTAGAAAAATATCCTTTACTTAAAAAAAGAAAAAAAGATCTCAGTACCTATATGTAGTTAATTAGAAAAATACTTTTTTCCCCCAGAAACAGGTAATTATGATTAAGGGCACAGGATAAAAGTCTACTTTAAACTCTCTAACAAAGAAAATTCATATCTTTGATTCTAAGTAAAGGGATGAAAAGGGACCAAAAAAAAAAAACCTAGAGAAACTTTATTTGAATAGGTTGATTCAAGACATTTTTAAAGGCTTGAAAATAACATAGTGTTAATTTTTTTTGGGGGGGGATCCGGTTGTGGGGCCTGAACTCTGGGCCTGGGCGCTGTCCCTCAGCTCTTTAGCTCAAGGCTAGTGCTCTACCACTTGAGCCACAGCACCACTTCCAGCTTTTTTTCTTTTTGCTTATGTGGTGCTGAGGAATCGAACCCAGGGCCTCATGCATGCAAGGCAAGCACTCTACCACTGAGCCACCTTCCCAGCCCTAATGTTAATTTTTTTAATGTGCCATTCTTCTATACTTAGTCCAGTGAAAGGTATGAGATGAAAAGTTTTATAGACGTAGTCTTACCTTTTAAGGAGCAGGAGAAACTTAATAATTAACAAAAGAGGTAAAATAGGCTGCATCTCTCAATGAAAGAAAGAGTGGGTAAAGTGTTATCTGTGATGCAACCTGATGTCTGGTACTGTAAAATGAGAAAAGGGTTTAAGTTAGGCAGTACTCATTAAAGGTGGCTTTGTGGTAGACTTTGATCTTGGCTATTAAAGATAGGTAGAATTTTCTGAGACAATTCTATGTGAGAAAACAGCCACTTCAATAGAGAGAAAGTGTGATCAAGTCTTACAGCAACTGAAATATTAAAAATGTCTCTGAGCATTCCTATTTGCCAGGAGCTAGAATGAATATTTCAAGGCCATATCATTTAGTTGTAGCCACCAAAAATGTAAGAACCAAGGGTAATCCAATAGCAGATGTTTGCTCTATCCACAGTTTGGCCTATTTTCTGTATGATAGCCTTCTGAACTAATTGTTATTAATGTCATTGTTGTTGTTTGCAAATGCAAATTTGAGGTACTGAGGGGTCAAGCAATAGAAATCAAGAAGCCTAAATCCAAACATGAATGTTCTCTTCTATAGTTCTGGCTTTCAGCTACTAGAATAGTAGCTGAAAAAGAACTAAGATTGTTTTCTGACAAACTGTGAAAAAATAAGTTCACAAATTAAATGTGAATTAGAAGTTCAGAAAGTAAAACTCTTCATTAAAGAGATACAATCACCTGTGTCCTATCCTACATATGAACAACAGGAAATATTCTATATTTAAGTTGGGAAATTCTACTAATTAAACCTTCTCGGAAGCATAGAAAAAGAATAATCAAAGTAGGCTGATATATGATATCATTAGCAGAAATAGCAGCTGATTTACACAATAGCCATTGTCCCACAGCAGAGCAAGGGAACTTACACTAGCATGGGATTGAAAGTACCATGAGCCATATATATATACACACACACACACACATACATATATATATACACATATATTCACATTATATTTGATGTAAATTATGAAAACATTGAATTACATAATTAAGGCTAAGAATGGGAGGGAGTAATGGGGAGAGAACATTAATCAAGATACTCATAACCTGAATTATAGAGTTACCTCTTTATACAATTACTTGGTATTAAAGTTTTCAGAAATGTGG